TTCCCCTTACGAATCCCGCATCCCAACCCTATAAAAACGCGAAATCCCGCTCCCGCTGGTAATTGTAATTCCCGCTTCCCGCCCCTGTTTTCAGCTCAAATCCCAAATATCAGGGCGAAAAAAAAGCTAAATCCCGCATCCCGCCAAACCTATTGGGGACCCTCCTCAGCCACGGACACTATCAGCCGACATACTGGGCGCCAGAAGGGGTTTATTTACAATTTCCGGAAGATCGCGCCATTCCTTGCAAACCAAAACGAGGCAAGACGTCGTGGAGATCTGGGTCCTAACGTAAACAGCCGATAAAAACATGGCGGTATAAATCAGCGGAATCATAAAATTCATAAAATTCGGGCTCATGTAAACAACGAACGGACATGGAATTATGGTTTGAGTGGGAAGGAAACAACGAGGAGCATCTTTCCTTCGATGACAGTGATCGTTTTGAGGAGGATTCGTTATGTTCTTGGGTTTCAGAGCCCGAGAGCATTTGTGGAAATTGGCGAGGTTGGAAGAGGAATTCTCAAAATGGTGTTCAATTTGATGGGGACTTCAGTGAAGAAAAAGTGGAAACCCTAATTGAAATATGCGCTAGAGCAGTAGCTAAACACCTTCCTTTTGAAACAGTAGAAAGGACATGTCCTGAAATTCCCGAACAACTCCAGTTAAGAATTGCGTTTTGGTCATTCCCTCCTTTCGAAGAAGACATTCGACTATATTCTTGTTTAGCCAATGGTTCCCCGGACAAATTTCTTGAAGGCGAGCAACTTCTCAAAGTGCAGGCGGTGAAGGACGCCCTACAGATTGGTAAGTATAAGCAACACGGTTTGATTCGTCTTCAGTCAGTACTGTGGGACGATCAGCCTGCTATGATATACAAAGAAGTTTAATAAAATTACATGGAAGCTTAAAATCATTCCAGACTTTCTTATACTAACAGCAAAATCACCCAGTGACAAAATAAGAGTATTAATTGTTAAGATCTAGGGCCTGGTATCTGAAAGCCTCATAAAGCTAATCCTGGGTCAGTATGAATTTTGATTTCATATTTAGATCTACAATGTAATTGAATGGGGCTCTTAACCCTTTAATAAAATAGAGGGCAAAATTACTGAATGCTGATTGGTTAATGAAGAGGGTATTTTTTTTATTAATTTTGCTTGTGAAGAGGGCAAAATTACTTGTTCATGATTGACAAAAACACCAGGAAAAGCATGGAGTACTGCAAGAACGTTTTCAAAAAGTGGGTGAATGAAAGAAACTTCCGAGCAAATTTAGAAGAGTACAAGAGCGATGTCCTCAACCAAAAACTGTCGCAGTTTTATGCTGAGTTACGAAAAGAAAATGGGGACGACTACGAGCCCGACTGCCTGAAAGTAATGCAGTCATCACTGGAGAGATATCTAAAATCAAAAGCCTATCCAAAGTCCATCATCCGAGATAGGGAGTTTCTTAACTCCAGAAAAGTCCTGGAAGGGAAGGCCAGGAAACTGCGAGAGCAAGGAGAGCAGGGCAAAGGAAAGTGACCAAACCGATCCAGAAGTTTGACTAAAGAAGAGGAATAAGTCCTCTGGCAGTACAGCCAGCTTGGAGGAGGAACTCCATGAACTCTACTTAACACCATGCTCACTCAGCACTTTGGCCTAGAACACCACAAGAACACCACCAAATGAAAGTTGAAGATTTCACTTTACAACGCGACGATGAAGGAAACAAATTTCTAACTTTTGCGGAAGGTCCAACTAAGACGAGACAGGGAGGACTTAGGGTGAAAACCAGACTAATCATCCCCAAAATGTTTGCCACAGGGAATGAGGAAAGGTGTCCCGTGATGTTGTTCAAACGATATCTGGGAAAGCAACCAAGCAAAATGAAGAAAAGCGGTCCGTTTTACCTCACTGTTATCGACAAGTCGGTTTCAAGCGTTTGCTACAAGAAAACCCCAATAGGAAAGAACACCATAAACACAATCAGGAAAAACATGAAAAAGAACTCACTGCTTAAGGATCTGTGTCCTGAGAAGAATTTGACCAACCATAGTGCACGAAAAACCGTGGTAAAGAAACTGAAAAGTTCTGGTATCCCGAAGTGTGAAATAACGAATATCACAGGCCACACGTCTGACAACGGGCTTGACGATTATGGCTTGACGAACGAGAGCAGCAGATTATTTCACGAGCCATTGACAACACTGGGCCTGGTCCTTCAAGAGATGCTTTAAGTCAACTTTATCCTGCAAATTCCACTGCATCTTTGTGTGCTCCCAGCCATGTTTACAATTTCAGTCACTGCATCGTCACTTTGAACGTTGCCAGGAATGATGCCGTTCAGAAGAGCACAAGTGATATAAGGCGAGGATACAAAATTAATGTTTCGTCATCAAAGAATCAGATTCTGAGTGATCTGAAAGCATCTTGAACATTTTAACTTTGTTTAAAAAAGCACTAACTTTATATTTTCAAATTGAAAGTTTGTTAGCAGGCCTGGTTGTCAATGTCCT